CCCCACAACCTCACAATACCACAATATCATTTCTAACCTTTTCCACTCACAACCAAATATTTTTATAATTTTCATTCCAGTAGTCATGATCTTTAATTCACATTCACATGACAAACTACAAATTGGAATCATTCTTTAGTCACGAATAGTCAATAAATGCTTATGTTACCTTCTAATCCCTGTGGATACGATATTTTTACTACTTGAACGGTCGGTATACTTGTCGTGTTTGAGACCGTTAATAGAATCTAACTGATTTATAGATTAAAATAAAAGTGTTTAAACGGAATTCTCAACAAGTTTTTGGCGCCGTTGCCGGGGATTAGCAAGGCAATTTAGTATTTATAGCTATTTGTGATTTAATCCTTTATTGTTTTGTTATTTTTTTTTATGTTAGCAATGAATTGTTGGAGCTAACCTGTGTACTAGTCTTCAGCTTTCTCTTGTATGCAAGGTACTGTTCAAATTAGACTGACCAATCCTTCTGAGCCGTTGTTGAGCAATCATGAGGTTGCACACGGGGCAAAGGGGAACAAGAGCAACAGGAGGAGAAGGAGAATCAGAGCACTTCAAGTTGGTCACTGTCAGGCTCGGGATAATAAACAAGCGCTTCCTGGGAGGCAACCCAGAGATCTGAACTCTAGTGCATATGTTTTTCAATTGCTTTAGTGTTTTAACTTTTATTGTGATTGTGTTATAATTGTATGCTATACTTGTTTTTGGGACTTGTTTTGTGATTGTTTATGGTCTGTGCTATGTATTTTGTATTGTGTTATTTGTGTTTGGTATTATGTGTCAGTGTGTGAATCATGCTTGAGTGGATAAATTCAAGTTGAATATGTTAGGAGTGAGGAGTGAAAAAGCCTAGGTGAAAGCTTTATAGAACTAATCACGCCGGGTGTGACATAGCCACGCCCAGCGCACCTAAAGCCATTTGGTCTCTGCCAACACCCACGTCGGGCTCAATTTCTAATTGCGCCCGGCCCAGACTTCATTATGGCTACTGGAACGACCAAGCCCGACGCAATTATTGGCGCGCCGGGCGCATTAAAAGTTAGGTGCTCCAGGGGGGGTAGGTAAGCCAGGCGCGCTCAGCGCATTTATCACTGGAAAGGTCTGAGCATTAATAACGCTGGGCGCCCCATCTGCCAAGCCGAGCGCATTGAATGCTTGCACGTATGTAACCCTAGCCACGCCCGGCGCTGCACGGCCCCGCCCGACATCATATCAGATAAGGCTAACCTTTGGTATTCTACTGATACCACGCCCGGCGCGACAATTTAGTTCGCCCGGCGTGACGGTTCAGGTGCCCCAATAACCCCTCACACCAACTCCCACTCTTCACTTTCAAACCTCTCTACTCCCTCTCACGCCTCACTCTCTCAACCTCCCAGGGTCAAAAAGGTAATTTTGGTGTCTAATTAGTTAAATAACATTTTTAGTCCCCTAATGATATTCAAGAAGTAATGTTGGTCATTTGATTTTTAATTTTGTCATTTTAATTCTCCTAATTAATTTTATAAAATTCTTAGTTTTGATTCCAACACTAAACGTTCATCTATTGATCGTTAAAATTATCATAAATAAGATTTAATAATAAATAAACTAAATTATACTTTTAATTTTTATTTTTAACTCAAAAATAGTTTTAAAAAAAAGAAGATAAATAATAAAGACTAAAAATATAATTTAATCAAGTACTAAAATAATACTGAATATGAAATGTTACTCCTATTTAATGTAAAGTTATGATTAGTCTTATAATTTTTTTAACGGTCAATAAATATACTTAATGATGAGGCCAAAATTTCAAATTATATAAAATTAGATTTATAAGTACGAAATTAAGGGGTGTATTGATTTAGAATTTCATAGGATTTTAAAAGACTTTTTTTGAGTAAAAAAGTTTGTTAGTATTCAATCAAGATTTTATGTCACTTAAAAACAATTTAGTGATATTCAATCAAGATTTTTAAGATTTTTTAAAGAGTCCATTAAAATCTATTGGTATTCATTTGAGACTTTTTACAACTTAAAAATAATCCATTGGTATTTAAAAATATAGGAATTTTAAAGGATTGTTGTATTATAAGGATTTTGATGGACTTTTTAGTGGTATCTATAAATACCAAATTCATAAAACAATCTCATCCAAACCCATAAGATTTTGGAGGATTGTTTGAAGTGACTTTTCAAGTGCTTCAAGAATTTCCAAGTGGGTTTTTCATCTATTTTTTTTTATTAGGAGACACAATTTAAAACAAACATAATATTTATTATTATTATTATATATCTAAAAATATTAAGTTTAAACAAGTGGAGTCAACATGTTTTCTTTCTTGTTAATAATACTACACTACTACTTATATATAATATTGTATTACTGTTCTCATTCCATTCTCGTATTTGGTAAAAAATTTATATGTAAATGATAGTGTCATTAACTTGCTCTATTTTTCTATCCGTTCTCTTTAATTAACTTGCTCTATTTTGGTCTATTTAATTGAGATTGGTCCTCAGTTATATAACAAAGAAAACACTTGAAATTTTAAATTTTAAGTAGTAATTTTTTTTATAACACTCGTCAAGAAAAGGGAAAGGTGAAAGCTAAAATTGATATCATTATCTCTATAATCAACTATAGATCTTCAAGACCTTGTAATCAATTTAGATTTATTAGAACAATATATATATATATATATATATATATATATATATGTGTGTAAAATATGAATTTGAGTTAGGGTTTCTATGAGTAGAATGAGATGAGAATGAATCTTAGTTGGGAGAAGAACCTTCTCAGGACAAAAACATCGATCTCTCTTCCTCCCTTAAGTTTATCACTATTATCCTTCCTTCATTTATCAGTCAACAATTATTTTATTTCCTTTTATTTTA